GTTTTACACGCTTGGCCAACCAAGCGACCAAATTATAACACTTTAAAAGACCACACAGAACTTCTCTAGTATGGTCAGAATAAGTTCAATGTACTCGCTGAAATCCTTAAATGAGCATCACAAATGAAAATGTTGTACAATAGTCTTATATCCAAATATGTCTACGAATTTCATAGGAAAATATATCAGCATTGTTTCTTTTTGACAAATATTGCCAAAAGACCCAATGTTATGTAAGTACACTGAACGTGTCATAAATATCACATATTTGTTATAAGTATGTACTTATAACAATTAAGTAAATATACTAAAATATTTTCATATTGGATAAATAATACAGCAACAATTTTCTAATCTTATATACATATAGGTCGGTTCCGTTTTGCCATACGAATATCTGTGGCATCGTTACGGGTAGTTGTAGCCCTAAACAGTCTTTCTACAGAACTTCGATGTACTTAGATTGTAGAGGTCTGATGGCAGTCAATAATCGACATCGTACTAGTATCGTAGTAGAGTTAAAGCCAACCCCAACCTAGTTTGGGAAAAGGCTCGGAGAAGAAGATATACTTATAAACAGCCTTAAAAACTAAGTGTAACCTTAAAAACTAAGTATAACTTTAAGTATAACTGCATTATCAAACCCATGCTCTTCTTTTTTATATATTTTTTTTATATTCTTATATCTTTTACATCGTCATTAGTTGTAAGTACGAGGCAATTCAATATTTGTTACAGTATTTATTAGAAATAAGAGGGCATTCAGTTATATTGTTTCCTGCCTTGCCTTGAGCACTTCAAACACACAATTTTATTGCCAATTATTGCAAAACAGTCCGTCGAGAACTGGTTTCTCTTTCCTATAAATAAATATGAACTTGCAATGATTGTATTTATTCTATTTTAGTACCTTTTTTTATTTACGACATTTTTTATTTATTCTGTTGTACATCTGTAAAATAATATATACGTATAGTTTATGTCTAAATTTCTTTACAATATTTATCTGCCTTTATTTTTATGTATTTAGGAAGGAAATACATTTGTAAAAGGCCGTCAGAGGAAGCTGTAATAACTGCAACGCTCCTAAGGGCAAATGTTGAAAGAAGAGTCCTCCTGTAGGTCTACCGTTAGGTATTTCTGTAGATTAACGAGAAATACTTTTCAATTTTGGCTTTTACTAAGCAAGAAGTTTTGTAACATAATGACTTAAAACTTACTTTAATTAATTTTGGTATTATTAATCTTACTTTTACGAATCGTTACATAAATGAGCCTTTCGGTTGATTGGCTTGCTAAGACCGTCATTTTTAAAGGGTCATGACGCAAATTCTCATCAAATATTTAATTCACGTAAATGTGCTACGCCAAAGTGTTTCGTTACGTATGTCCGTATTAAATCTGATCATAGACCTGACTTAGTTATGTGCTAGTTTTCTCCTACTTGTCAACCAATTCAAATCTATAAAACTATACGTTATTCGACTAGATGATTCTTAAAGAATAAGGTACCAAATCAGTTACCCTAATCAAGAGTGTCCAAGTCGCTTCACCCATTTCATTAAATGAACTGTAACTAATGTAATGATTCTGTGAATGTTCTCGTGTTATTCTATTTAGTTTTCTACTATTATTATTAATCGATAAATATATTTTTAATTTTATACATGGGTAGGTATATACCTATGTCAACTAATCAAAGGTAGTAAAATTATAAAAATAAAATAAAATACATATTTAAAAATCTAAGGAATGAAAAACTCAAGGTGCTTCACTCGTATATCGGTATAAATAGAAAACACCCCACGCTTGTTAAGGTGCCTATTTATGTAACATTGTAGTTTCATATTCTGTTCCTCTTTGTTCATAATTAAGACTGTGAATTGGCTTTGGCGACATATTAAAGTATCCAATCGGATTTAAATTTCATATCTACCTAAGTATAAAAGCTGTATTTTACCAATTGATATATAGAAAGATATCAAAAAAGTAAAATCAAAACAATTAAAATTGATATATATTGAAATATACCTATGTATTTTCATCTTGAGCATAAGTACACCTTCGTCCAACAATTTTATTTTTCTTTCTTTGAAATGTAAATTTTAAGTTAAACGTAAATTGTAAATTTTGTGACGGACCCGTTTTGTCATTTAAATAAGGTTGCTTGCTATCTCTGCATTAGTCCAAAACGTTGCCTATACGGACAGACTAACCTTTCAGTTTAAGGCAACGCACATTGCGCATAATATTACAGAACAATAGTTTCCGACGAAAATCGTTCACAAAACGTGTCTCTTAACAAAAGGTATATTGTCCTTAACAAAACCAATAACCCTTTTTTGCATATTATTGCATAAAGTTAACGACTTCCTTGAGTAACGTTTCTAAATGACAAAACGAAATTGGAGCAAAAAGTTTTATGAAAAAATGCTCTCAATAACGGGTCTACCTAGAAAGGGTTTAAATATTGCGGTTAACTGTGAAACAATCGGTACAGTTATTGTGGGAGGTTTATGCCTTTATGGGTTGTAAATCACTTGGGGAAAAAAGTCGCAGTGACGTCACAGGTTGTAAAGATTTAACGGCCTGGCCGATCAGCTGAGGTGTGAGGTCGACTTCGGTCAGCGTCTTTGTGATCGTGCATGTGCTGTACCTTATTGTCCTGTATGAACTTTTGTGAATTGCATAGGTATCTAGGTATATTATATTGCGGTAGAACAAATTATTCTGATAAAAACGAGAGACTTAGTTAAATACACTTTTCCTTATTAATATGTTTTAATATTGTTTTTACAATAAGACTTATTCACATATTTGTTGAGTTGTTGTTGAGTTATTAGTTAGTTTCATTTTTGGAAAACTAATTTAAAAAGAGGTACCACCACGCTACTGTGTTGTACTGTACCATAGTAGGTACATAAGTAACCATACTGCTACGAGTAGCATACTGGATGAAGAGTAGGTAAGTACAATTTCTCATTCCTTGGGAATAAAATCACCAGCTCTAGATAGGATTAATGTATAAAGCTTGTACTAATTACCTACGCTGGCGGTTAGTCACGGTATTGCTAGTGTTAATTGTTTACCTCTAAATAGACCGTGGTCTTATGTATAATATATAAACTAAAAACTTAACCTAACCAAAATTATATTTTTATACCTGGTATGTAGACATTGAATATGTGAATAATTTATATTTGTTGTTTTTTGCACACATTGTACAAAGGAAGACTGAAAGCCCTGGTATTCTCTGCCAGTGATACTTCGGTGATTCAGAAATGAAAGTGTGGTAGGTAGGTATTATACAGTATTTGTTTTAGCGAGTTTTCAACCGTAGGCTTACAAACGTGCCGTACCCTCTTTATAAAAAAATTGAGCCCAAGAGAACAGAATTGTGGAGGTACTTACGTGCAGCTTACGACGTTAAGAGGGACTTCATGAAAAGCGACACTTATATTTGAGATTAGGGTTCCCTGTACTTAATAACTATGAATTCACGATTTAGACTATAGGTGAATTATGATAACATTAAGATAAAGCTAATAAAAAAACTAACATTATGTAATGGTTACTTATTAGAATTTACCTACTTGGAAGATTTCGGTTAAATCTACTCGTTGCAGTGTAAAGCGTTTACAATTTAAGATTTAGACACTTATTTCTCTGACCTGAATTACTACACACAAATTCTTAGAGATCTTTATATAGTTAAATAATTGATATCTCGGTGTAGGGGAAGGTTGTGTTGATTGGACCACATAACTTTAAGGTGTCACATCTAATAAAAAGTGATAAAATAAAACTTATGACTAATATTTAATCCTTTCTTAATTTAGATACGATGTTATATTTATTTTAGGTCAAAGTTGATCAGTGTCTGTATCTTTCTTTGGACTACCGTTGCATTGAATGGACTGCTCCGTTGCCATCATTGGACTTAGAAACATTTGTACCAAAGATCCAATCATGGCAACTTAATTAAAACACGTTATTTACATCACCGTTTTATTAATGGTAACAATAAGAATCACATAAACATGAGCCAAAATTACATTTTATAACTTTTTAACAAAACAGATATACCTACCATTAAATTAAATATTGTACATAAATTAATATCAACGAGTATAGCAATAAGGCTCAGGATCAGCTGTAGCAGTAGTTATTTTTCTAGTATTTCAGGTGACATTTCAGATAAACGATCGATCTTAACTTGAGGTTCGATTGATAAGTTATTTTAAACGGAATATTTACCATGTTTAGTTTCACAGTAACTCATATCATCCGTGATCATTGCGCTTGCAATAGTGCCGACATATAGATAGCTAATTCCCGAAAATAAACATGGTAAATATCCTGGTAATAACAACTTACCAAATTGAGGTTCAATATTCTTGTTTGGTTCTTATTCATAGCAGCGAAAGTTTTCGAGAAGATCACTTTCTGATCCCATAATTGAATCTCTTCCGTAGCTTTTTGGCTTTTCCCATTCAATCTGTATTCCAAAGCTGCTTTCAGAACATCATGAAGTCCATAAATTCGAGATGCCTTATTTAATCTCACTGACTTTTACTGACAGCCTCTACGGTAAGTTTGAAGCCTACCTAAAAAAAAATTATTACTTGATACATTTTATATTTTTTTTCTGGCGTCATCCTAGAAAGAAATTGACCAAAAAGTTGAATTTTAAAGTTTTTTAATTTAACCATAGAGGAGCTATGAATGGAACAGTCCGAGGAATGAATACAACTAGGGATTTAATTAGAAATGATTTTTCTATTAAAAAGGAAAGCAAAGAAAAAAAAAATGTGGGTACTAAAACACAGATATATCTTTTATGATATTAAATAATAATAATATATATTACATCACATCAACAGCCTTTAATAGTCCACAGCTGGACATAGGCCTCTCTTTATACCTACATAATCCGAAAATAATATATATAATTTCGGCTTGGACAACTTTTCTAGTTGATTACCTATCCTCCTATATACCTATCCTATATACCTATCTTCTAATTTAACAACTGCTTTGGTGCTGTGTCCGTGTTGCCCTTTTTTCTTCTTCTCAATTTTAGGAGCCACTTTGCTAGCTGAAGCTTTCACCGGTTCTTTCTTGACGATTTTTGTTTTTTTAGACGGAGAAGCCTTAACCTTAGTAATTGATTTTCGTTTTTCAGCTGCCTGCGTGTTGTCCAAGAGATCCATCAAGTCCACAGATTCTTTTTTAGGTATTTTGCTTGCAAGTTTCGTTAGGGGCTCGTCGTCCATGTCGTCATCATCATCGTCATCATAATCGCGATCATCAAAGTCATCATCGCTGAGCCTCTTCTCCAACTTGATCCACTCCAACTTCACATCGTCAAGAGTCTCCACTGGAGCTTCAGATTCCGTCACGCTGGAAGTGCCAGGATCAAGATGCTGCATGAACGTCTTCTCGCACTCCAGCACCTGTCGCCTGAAGTCATTTGCGTCTCGGAGCCGTGATATGCATGGCTCGCATATCAGACGGCTGTTGCTATTTGGCCCGCCAGATTGGGAGTACGCGTGACGTTGAAGGTGTCCAAAAGCATTTCGGCGTATACTTCGCGTCCAAAAATATTCTGTTGAGATATCCTTGTAGCATCCCTCGGTCAAACAACAACGACAAACAGTGGGACCGGGTTGCCATTCTGTACTTTTCACATTCATTATCACTTTAAAACTACAATATTTTCACAGAAAATATTTTTATCATAATACTAGTTTTTAATTAACATAGATTATTGCAAACTATAAATAAATCTATTTTATTGTTGGAAACGCCAATACAATAGACGCCATGGAGCGCAGCGCATTTGCTGGTGTGGGACTGTTGAGGAACTTCACGCAACTAGGCTAGGTCTACGCACTGTGACTGTTGAGGAACTTCACGCAACTAGGTCCGTGTGGTGACGGATTAAGAATACAGAGTGTCACCACCCCTATTCATCCCGTGAGTGTCGTAAGAGCTGACTAAGGGAAAAAACTACGCAGGACAACAGCAGTGCAGGGAGAAGGAAAACTTGACACAAACCCTATACCAACCCGTCTCGCCAGCGTGGTATAGTAGGCCAAAACCTCCTTTCTCAGGAGAGGCAGAAGTTGATGATGAATATATATAATAAATATTTTTTATAATAAAATATTATCATTGAATTTACAAAAGTCTTACTTACATTGATTTTTTAGTTGCACGATTTTTAATTCAAGGTTTTCCCAGACACGTAAACTCTGTAAAAGCTCTGTAAAACTTGGCACGCTGATACTAAGGTTTGGAGAACAGTCGTTAGGCTCGACACTATCGCCTAGCAACTGACTGGACACGCTCTAACATGCTTAATTTTTAAAATACTTAGGTAGTCCAAAGAAAGCGCTAGTCCACTGATTGCAACCTTCCCCTAATCATCATTTTCTCAAAATTTAATTTTCATATTGGCATCGGGTTTCAAAAAGAAATGGACCACCCATCGGTGGCTATGTCGGACACGAACCAACTAAAACCTGCACGCCGCCTCGAATGCCAGTAACCGGGAAACTAGGTGTACCCTAGAAAGGAAATCCCTGGTACCCCGACGTAAGTCGGTCCATCTACTGCGGGTAGATAACCCCCTCCTGTGTAGGAGGCCCCATGTTCCACCGCCACCCCGGCCTGCTTCTGATAGGGTGATAGACAGCCTCACCTGTCCCCCCCAGGCCTGCGTCGTTCTATGACCTCCGGCTCTTGAGCTGCCTGTGGTGGCGGGCCTGTGCCCGGGCATGGCGGGCCGGGAGAGTTCTAAACCTCTCCCAATCCCGCTCCGCTATATCCTTCTCAAGTATAACTCGCTCGAAGAAGGAGACGGCGGAGTTCCAAGCATCTTCGCTTCACACCATGGCCGCAATCATGTTACCGTGCGAAAGAACTCCCACCCTGATGGCTGCCACGAGGTAACGCCTCTGCTCCACCCACGCCGAGCATTCGGGCTCCTTGCGGATCAGACACAGGTGATTCCCGAAACATCCTTTCCCAGTGATCACCTGCGTCAACCGGTATGAGAGGGTCCCGTGATGCCTCTCGACCCAATCCTCCATAACGGGTCTTACCGCCGCGATAATGGCGTGCCCGCCCCAATGTCTGCCCCGATCTTTACAAAAGTTGTTCATTTTAGATCACTGTTCTCCTATTGGTAAGTTCTACAAAGGGATTCAAAAGTAAGTATTATTCACAAACAAGTGTCTCCATATATTAAACATTTTTTAAGTTGATATGCAAATGGATTTCCAATTGAAAATATTGAAACGTGATCTGATGTAATACTTATACGTATATTGTTTGCTATTTAGTTTTTTGTAGCCTGTGTACAGGGGCCCTCTCCTGGTCTCCTAGGCCTTACCTATTTGTTGACATATATACTTATACACCTACCTATGGTATTGGATCATTTTCATATGATATAATATATGACAAAAGATGATAAACCTGGGGCACATAAGGGTTAGATACGGTAGGATAGGATTAAGATGGATTGATTGATGTGTGTGGAATATCCGAACAGTCTTAAATCTTAACTAAAGTTTAATTTATTTGTATAAAAAAGAGAAAAAAAAGTAAACAAAAATGTTCATTAAAATTTTACAACGAAATTTTGCGAAGGTACAAAATTGGTTTGCCTTATTGAGTTTCTACCAGTCTAGTCAATTCTAGGGTTATGCAGAGATAAATACTGGCTGTGTTACCTATTGACGGTACTTCTGACACTCACTTGACAAAGTTGAACTGACAGAGGCAATTTTAGGAAGTATTGATATTTAGAGAAATAGCTTAGTTCTAAAGCGCGTAGTAATGGTGTTTATAATATACAAAAGTGCAGATCGATACTGATTCAATATGATCTGTAATGAAACAGTACGTCTGTATACCGCTCGTTGTAATCTCCACACGCTGGCTAGGTAGGTAACACAATAACAATTCCAGAGCGCAAATCCGCGATAACAAAGTAGAACAACCTCTCGCCGTTGTTGATAACGGAGCCGACTTTCTACGCATATTAAACTTGATAAACAGCACTGATAAAGGCAGCCTATTGTTGTCGACAATTGCTAATCAAAAGATCTCGATTGAAAATCATTCGAGAACGTTATCAAGATTAGATGGAAATTTAAATTAGACAGCTGTAATGAAATTTTGTAAGTCTATCAGAATTATGAAAATTCTATTTATTTTGCACCGAGATAAACACAAATGTAATATACCATTGTCTTATAAGTTATATAAAAGGTTTTGTTGAAATTATCTTATTCTATTCTTGATCAAGGTATATATGAGTAAGTAGAGACGTTTTCAACTAATGTTGGTTTATTTTGATATTAAATAAAAACCTATCACAATTCAAAATAAATCAAGATAATCACTATAACAATAGATAATCTAATAAAAAAACATTAATAAACATTTAATTACTTTAATAGGTACCTATACACTTCACTACTACACCTAACCATATGATCAAAAAAATTATATCAGTATGTCAATAAAATGTAGGTATACCTACCTACCTATTTAATATTGCATTTATTCGCTGTATAATTTTTAATCCATGTAGGTGTATTATGTAAGCTATATTTTAATTAAAAATGTTGAAGTAATTGTCTTTCTATGATAATTAGTTATGACAAAAATAGTTCTAATATAAAAGTCTGATCAAATCAGGATCAAAATTTAAGAATAATCTAGGTACATCAGAATTCATTAAACCAACAAGTAATATAGGTGTTTTAGTAACACATACTCCTAACCTAGGGAACGAAGTGCAAATCTGTTCAACATATCGCCATTAAAATCTGCCTATAAAACCTATTATGACTCCTTTTATCGGTAATGCTTCAATAAAAGTCGCAAGTGTAACCGACCCGTATAAATTGGCAAACTAAACAATGGCCAATGCAGTTTCGCTCCACATTTCTACGCGGTTGGTTTTTTTGCTTTGAGGAAAAAAAATAAACGCAATTTATCACAGTTATGAGAAAACCACGCGTTGGCCAACACGTCTTTACTGTTTTAATTAAACACCTTCAGTGCCCCTGTGTGCCTAAATTCGTTCCCACTACCCACTCGCATGCACGTGCCTCGGCCTCAATATTGTCCAGACGTGTTAACTAAAACGTGTGAATAACACGCCAAGATCAACACCAATATTTTCGGTGAGTGCTCAAATGTATAGCAACTTTTACAGTACCAAATGTGGGTGCTTTCGTAACACCCAATGCCATCTATCTAGCCAATAGATAACAACTATGAGATACAACCGACTGGTACAACCTTTTTGTACATGGGACGTAACACAAGCATATAAAAGTTTAACACACGCACAAAAGTAAACTCGTCATGCGTAAGTGTGCGTAGAAGCTTTCACGCACACCGACGGCCCTTAAAGTCGTAAAAACAGCAATTGAAAAGCTTCAGCCGTTCGCCGCACGGTGGCGTTGTTCCGATGGTTCGTATCTCGACCAGTGGCGCCAACTTTACGCATTTGGCGCTGCTGTGCCGACAAAAGTTTTAAATTAGTTTTCTTATGAGACAGGATCCTTTTGTTGGCTTGCACTTATTAGACTTAGTCACGGAGTAAATAGATAAGAGTGAAGTCGACGAATATAGATAAAGTTTCCTTTGTATTTTAACAAAATGTAAGAGTTCACTATCTCTGTGGCTGTATCTACGTAAAATTACTGACTTGAATAATCTTATTAAGTAAGGCTTTAAATTCTTAATAGAACTGGTTCTCAATTTTAGAAGTTTGGGATCATAATACAATTTTATTTGACAGAATTTACATTAGGTATTAACTGTAAGGATCTGTAACCTTCTTATACCTAGATACCTTCTGATACCTTGCCTAATAAAAAGATAATATTAACCCAATAAATACTTTCACAGTAAGTAGGTAGGTATATGTTGATAGATTAAATACTCTTTCTTTTAAATTTCGGCGAACGTCGTTGGTAGTAAGGATTCCTAATAAATCTAAATAAATGGTAATACATCTTCTGTTAAAGCCTACATTTCAACAGTTGCAGCGTTAAAAAAACATTTTTAGTGAACTATTGGCAGATTTAGGCGAAATTTCCTACTGAATTGCGCCGTAAATCTTTATAGTTGCTGCGTAATGTCAAATATTTCTTTTAGTATCGGGTTAACAGAAACGGTGCTTTTTGTTCAAGATATCAGCAAACGTGGAGTAGACAATTGACATGGCTAATGTTATAATGCGTAACGTAGATATGATGGAGCAGAAACTATGTAAGCACATAATAACTAGTAGAAGAATACCTAGGAATGAAATATATCTGTTCAATTAGGTTTACCTGAAAATATTCAAATATACTGTTTTCATATCATGTTTTTAGTTAAAACCCTTTAACTACGATAGGACCTTCTTTTTATATAAATTTCTTGTAATGGACAAGTGTTGCTCTCATAAAAGAGATAGGTAGCCACTTATAGGAGTTGAACATGTAGTTACTTACTCATAGATAAAATATATTTTTGTCTTAAGTAATTTTAGCAAGATTATTTGATAGTAATTATTAAATTTTAGAATCATAATAACATTTTACTTGATACGGTTTGTAATTTTTACACCTACATTAGGTATTTTTTTTCTTTTTGCAAGGAGTAATTTTTGATGTAGTCT